AGACGGGGACTTCCTCCTTGATGGAGATCTCTTTGAGGGACATGCCGAGCTCCGAGAGGACGGCGATGCGGGCGCGCTTTTCGGGGGAGTATTGCGGTTTGCGGGGCTTTGGTTCTGGGGCGGCGCGGCGAGGCATTGTGTGAGAGGTGTATGTGTTCGTTGAGGGAAAAGTGAAGTGATGTGAGGATTAGACGATGGATGGGGTGATCGCTGAGGTTTTCGCTGAAGATCAGATGAGTTGAGGTGGGAATTAAAAGGGGGGATGATTATTACGTTGTGAGATGAGGCTGGAGGATGAGAAGGAGGATGAGATGTAGACGATAGCGGCGCATGTCGAAATTTTCGTTTTTTATTTTTTCTTTTGGTGAACCCCGGTGGCTGGGCCCACTTTCTCGGGGTGGATCAGGGGTGCTGCGTTCGGGGTAGTGGATACCTCAGGTTCCTCGACGAGGCGGGGGCAAGGGCCACCTCAGGTCTGGACAACTTATGGCTAGTGGGGGGTTGATCTCAATAGCTGGAGGTACGCGTCTCTTTCTATCACCATATCGTTGGGAGTAAAGTAAACCGCAGTTCATCAAACTCCAGAAAATGGTGCGAGTGCCCCAGAATACTGGTTTTCCTCCCGGCTTTCGAGGGTGCCAAAGTAAGTACCTGGTATTCCGTACCACCTGCAAGAGAAGGCACCCAGGGTGCCAAGCTTAGGTCTCGGACAGGAACAGCTCGGAGCAGCTCTTTGTGCTTAGATAAGCTAGCCATCGACCAATAGATTGAAATCTACCTCTCCGAGCATGCAACTTGAAGGCTTTCTTGCCGCCAAAATCTCACAAAGTCGTCGAAAGGTGGCTTTCCTCCATTATCGTGATCAGTCTCCAACATCTCCTTTCTTCTGTGTGTTTTCGTTTCTTTTCTCGGGGACAGAGCGTCATAGGAAATAGCAAGTCTGACAAGAAGAAAGTATGACCCCATCACGGACCGCCGATGATGCTACAATCAGCACCAGCCACATGCACTGAGCCACGCTGGAGTATCTTGCTCCTCTGGCCGTAACCTAGCGATTTTCGATTAGATCCAATCCTGAGCAACGGGATAGTGAAATTTTCATATGATCTAGCGGTAAGAAGGAAGCCTCTTCTGGCGAAAGACACCTCGGCACACATGAAAAAGTGGTCCGCCGGCATCACTTACACGGGGTACAGGGATGTTGCATCAATCCAACATCCCTCCCATGGGCTGATGGTATCAAACAAGAGATATTCCCCGTATATCAAGGCGACGAGGGATGAGGCATATGGCATATGAATGAGTTGTAACATAATGCTGGTACTTAGGTACACTAGGCACGACCAGCTATGCCTCGATCTTTGACGAGACGTGAAGCATAACTCATAATCCCTCGGAATCTGCTCCGGCTTCCATGCAATAAACCCGTTGCCTCCCCCGCGACGTATGTCACCTTCTCTCAATACCTTCTCCCCTGTTTAAGCAATAAGCCCCTCAAATCTCGCGAGACTCAAATCTTCTCCTCAGTCTTCTTCTTCGCAGCCTGCTCCGCCACAAACTTTTCATAATCCGCCTGCCTCTCGGGTGAAACCTTCATAAACGGAATATCGTCCTCCATCACCTTGCCCGCAACCCTCACCGGCTCCGCAGGCTGCAGACAGAAAATCACCCGCGCCCACTGATCCGTCGCATTCTTCCACCCGTGCATCGTGCCCCTCTGAATCATGATCTCCCCTTCCTTTAGCGTCCGCTTAGCCCCGTCGTCCAGGTAACACTCCACCTCGCCCTTGAGCACGATGCCGTAGTCGCACGACTCGGTGCGGTGCATCATCGGCCCTGTCTGCGGACCAAAGTCTACCACCCGCAGGACGGAGCCCGAGGGGAGGTGCAGGGACGGCATGCGCGGGTGGTTGGGCGCGTAGGCTGCCAGGTCCTTTTCGTCGTCCATTGTGACGGGTGACTCGGAAGTTGTGTAGCAGGTGTGGAAGTACATGTTCTTCAGCGGGTCCGGCGTGACTTGTACGGGGAATGCGTCGGAGAAGACGGCGCGGCCGTTGGCGTCGTGGGTTGTGATGTGCCGGGATACGGGGCCGAAGGGGCAGTCTTCGGATGCGGAGGCGGCGGGAGCAGCACCGGACGACGACATCTTTGCTTAGGCGTTGTGAAGTATGTGCGATGAAGGTGTGAACAGACGGCTGAGGTACCAAGGTTCGATGATGGGTCTGACAAGCTTGACAGATGATGGGGGGGAGCGAGCAACGAAGTAAAGCTAGCTGGTGGGAGTTTGTAGTTGGCTACTTTGCTGTGTCTTCTTTTAAAGGCCTCTCGTCTTTTCTTCTTCGTCAACCGAGACAAGTATGGGCGGGGAGTCGTCCGATGGATTGTATTTTCTGTCAAAGCACGATTCGTTCTTTGAAAGATGCGATTGGGGGGGTAAGAAGAGGGGATGAAAGGTCCCTTTAAGAAGGTGTGCTGTCACGGCCGTTGGCCTTGGCGCACAGACTTGGGGGTGTCTCGCGGCTCGCCGAGGGAAGAGATGAAAAGGCCACTTGCTAGTAGGAAAAAGTACCTAGCCAGCTGGCATTGCCTTAGGAAAAACAGTGTTGTCCCTCACCTGACGCAGGAAGCGGCAATCCTGCCAGCCAGCCTGCATGTTTCCACCTGTCTTGCTGCGTTATAAGGTTTGGTGAGAATTAAACGCGGCATTCGGTGTGGGGTGCCAGTGCCACCCCAGCCGGGCGCGGCTGCATCGACTATGCGCAGTCCTCGTCCTGGCTTGAACCCAAGTGGTCGAGAGTTGGTGACGGAGGCACGGTGGTTGGAAAATCCTCCCAAAAAAGGGTCGTCTGGCAGTGCCGACGCGGTAACGCCACTTCTGCTGCATGGGCGATGTCTTACGTCCGTACGAGTGAAAGGCAGTCCTGCGAGTCCCATCCTCCGAACCATGCAGACAGATAGGCGCAGAATCCACTCCGAAGTGCGGCAAAAAGTACTGCCACGATAGGTTGGCAGGTATCTATCTGTCTCAACAAACACGGGTAAGCGACAAGGATGAGCTCGCCAGTGAAGAGGGGGAGCTCGTAGTGAAACGAAGCTTGGCTTGCGATTGCTCACTGCATTCATCTGACTCTGCACCGTGACGAGGATCACTAAGCACTGTCGTTGCAAGCCTCGGGAGCTGACCGCTTGCATTGAGTGACCTTGTGGATCGATTCTAGGGGCATTTGTTGAAGATAGTGCTCAATTGAGTTTGAATTTATATTGCCTACGCTTGGCGTCGAGTACGTATGGAAACCCCGCGGTATCCGGCCGATTGCGGATTGCCAAAGAAACACTGTCCGCTCAACGGTCACTAGCCTCGCTGGACTTGCGGCATTCTCTGCATCAAGTCAACCTAGTGTACTGTGTATGGCTTGGAGCTGAGACCTCGAAGTTGAAAACTCCCTCGGCCAATGATTCTTGATCGTGTAAACATCAAATCATACCTCGCAATCGCTCATAGCCCGAGGTTGGCGGGCATTTCGTATCCTAGTACATGCAACTTGCGGCTTCAGCTCGCGCTGGTGTTTCGGGTCCTGCGGTCACACGCACGCCGGTCCGACATTGATCTGAAAAACGGGGAGTTGTCCGCTTTGGCGCCCCGTGTTCCAGAAAAATCTTCGCAACGGCTCCGCGACAAGCGGGGATGTCGGACTCGGGACCAACTCCGGCAAGGCCGAATGTATGCATGCATGTATGCACCGCCTGACGGAGGCCAAGGTGAGCGTACTCAACCTTGATGAATCAACTTTCGGGAATCCCCCGACTGCCCCAAACGTATCATTGTCGTTGGAACGGGGACGTTGACCGCCGGGAAGACATAGGAGATCGGAACGTCGGCTTTGAATAGTCTGGCAGCGATAGACCGCGACACTAAAGTCTCAGTCGGCGGTTAGGGATCACCAGGGAACGGGCATGTGTATCTTCGCTGTCGGGGAAATCGACCGTCGGAGAGAGCAGCTGTAATCGGGCAGTCGACTTTGACCAGTCTCGTCGTGGAAGACCGCGATGTGCATTTGACAGCCAAGGAATCGCGATCACCGCAAGATCGTCGGTCCACAAGTATGGCGAGCACTATCAAAGGCTGTCGGGGAAATTGGCCGCCGGGGAGCAATCTCCCCAGGAATAATGAAAAGGCATTTGTGGAGAGGCGGCCACGAGCTTGCTGGCCTTTATTCCAAATCTCAATGGCGACATTTGCTAGGTTCCTCGTGTTGTGCGAAGTCAAAAGAAGCTCCTACCAGAAAGCTTGTCGTGGATCGGCGAGATGTGTCACGAAGTTGATCCGTGTCGATAGACAGAACGGCAACGTGAGGAAAGTCTAGCGCGGACTGTACCGCCGGGAAAAGTACGAAAGATTCATTTTACTTCCTCATCTTCAGAGAAGGTACACGGGGAGCTGCCGTCGGGCTGGCCCGGACTTTGTAAAGGCAATAGGATCAGTGAGAGAAAGCTTCGGTAAAAGCGGCTCTTGTCTGTCAAGATGCGCCTCAAAGACCGCTTAAGCCAATAGTAGGCCAGTGGCGATCGTCGTTCCAAAGATCAGTACGATGTTGGTCAGACCAGATCGGACAACGTGGAAATTCGACGCTACCACAATCTGAATATCAGACGAGATATGTTGGGTGCAGTGACGGTGGAGACTTGGAGCTGAACGACAAGGGACTGCCTTGGCTGCCTCGGCAGACGACCCCGTCTACACCGTAACATATCTCGCACTGAGGCGTAGCTCACGGGGCTAGCAATTGAAATCGAAATGGTTTCGCAAGCTAAGAGAACCGGGGAGAATCCGTCGGCTTTACGTCCCCGACAACGAAGAGACAGTATGAATCCAACAATCAAGGACCGGAGTTGACTCCGATTGCCATGTAAATGATGCCATTCGGGGCTGTGACCGACCGCCCGCTGCCGATGCCTCCCCTACCGCAGACTGACGCGCCGAAGGTAAACTGGCTTTGCCTTTAAGCACTTGTCGTGTTGGCAACCTTTTGTGACCACCATTTCTGCCAGTCGACCACCTTCTTCCCTGTCCGCGCTTCCTCTGCCGCGAATACCATCGCATGGGAGCGAATTACCTCCTCAAGTGAGCAGCCGATGAATTCATTCTGCGCTTTCTCCGGCGTCCAGCCGTGGTTCTTGACTTTGTCCACCGCCAGTATGAATTGACGTGCGAGACCTTTGTCCCCACCGCCGTGGCCGGCGTCTTCGAGGGTTGGGTGGAATGATTGGGTGGCACCCGTGTTGAAGTCCTCTATGGTGATTGTACGGGCGTCGGCATAGATCTCGCCATCAATACCATAAATATGGGTGTACCTCTCGCAAATCTTTTTCGTTTGTGCGACCATGTGCAGAGTTGCTGATTTGGATTGTTTGGTTGACTCTGGGGTACCGTCCGTGGCATCGTCCCAGGTGATGGTGACAGTCTGGTCATCACAGACATTGTTGTCCGCGTCGAAGACACAACGACCGAACCAGTTCCGCGAAGCGACGACGTCTTTGGGGGTGGAATCATCATAATCTTCAGCAAGCTTTGATGCCAGGACTTTGCTTCGCTCAGATGTCGGGAAATCTTCAATCTCCGGCATTACAATGCTGACTGGCCAATCGGTGTTGCCAGAAGCGAGACCTTTCAGATCCTGGCCGAGATAGATATTCTTGGCCGAGAATTTGCAGCCTGAATCACCTAGAGGACACGACATACAATTTGTTGCATTTCCAGCGGCGGCGGGCTTGCGACCTTTCCTAAAGAGGTGGAGCGAACCACTTGACGAGACAGTGGACGGTAGATGAGGAGTGCCTGTTCCAGCCTTTACTGGTGCGCTCAGAAGCCAAAGGAGGAGATCAATGTCGTGGCAGCTCTTTGTCAATAGACTTGGTGCCGTAGTCTTTTCGTTCCGCCAGTTGCCACGCACATACGAGTGGGTAAAATGCCACCAACCGACCGGCTCGGTGTGCACAATCTTGAGGATATCGCCAATGACACGGTCTTCGAGCAAGAGTTTGCGAAGCAGCATATTGTGTGGGCTGTAACGAAGTACATGGCCGATAGAGAAGACGTTCTTGGGCTCCTGACCAGCAGGAGGCTTCATAGCCTGATACATGTCGAGACAATCGGTAAGAGACGTGGCGAGGGGTTTCTCGCACATGACGTGCAGTCCCAGAGGAGCAAGTCCGACGAGGACGTCGCGATGCATTTCGTCAAGAACACAAATGAAGGCGGCATCAACGCCAGGCGGTACATCTTCACCAGCAGCTTCTCTCTCTCGGCGGCGTGTCTCGTATGTTACGAACTCGGTCCAGTCGGCAAACTGTTGCCCTTCTTGGGGAGTGTTGGAGCCCCAAACGAATGTTCGACCGAAGCTTTGACGCTTGTAGGTGATGGGTTCAGCGACAGCAGCCACGATACCGTTGCAAGAGGTCTCGTTAGCATGAGCATATGCTTGTCCGCGAGAGCCAGCTCCGATGACGAGAATGCGAGGTGGCGAAACAGACATGGGAGGTTTCTGAGGTGGCACTGGAGTTGCATCTTCAGGGACCGCGACGGGCGAACCCGACTTCTTGACGGACGACATGTCGTGGTCGTTATCGTTGAAGTGTGACCTGTCGGTTACAGGAGAACCCTGTGTTGAAGTTTTTCTTTCTCTTTTGACAAAGTTATATTCTCCGAGAAACTCGGAAAACACGCTGTCTTTTGGTAAATAGGGTAGGAGGGATGTTGTCAATGAACAGAAGTCAGTCAGGTGAAAGAAGGAGGTTTATGTTACTTGGAGTACTGGCTCCAACATGGAAAGTGGGGTCCATGTAGAAGGGCAGGTCCAATGAATGATGGTTTATTTGAATCGTGGTCCGGGGTACTTGCCTTGGTTCTTGGCAGTTTACTTATCTTATCAGCGGCTGTCGGTTGAATTTCCTCCTCTGCCGACGTGGGGCATCTTTCTCTGCGGGCAGTTCTGGCGGTGAGACGTCCCTGCCTGGGCAATTGGAGTGGGCAGCAATAGTAGGAGCCTTGATATGCCAGGTACTTTGCTGATGCATCCTGTATTCCCAGGGTTTACCTGAACCATCTTCACAACTTCGTATGAAATTATACGCTGGTAGAAAACATGCCCGGAGAAGTTCCCACTAGCGATAGCAATAGCAGTGAGTACCTACTATGTACATAGGTGGTGGCCATGGAACGAAAGGAAGCATTGAGAACGCCCGGCTGGCACTGCTAGGATCGCATGGTACTCCGTGCATCTTGGTCCTCCTTCCATTCAATACCTAATTGGAAGTCACACCTGGGATGCTGCAGCTTGCACCCCACCTTGTACTCCAACTCTGGTGAAGTTGTGGCTCAGTCAAGCTTAGCACGCCCAAAAGAAGATCCTGCTGTTGACGGAGTGCAACTCAAGTTGACAAGAGTTAGAATCAATATCAACATCATTCCCGCCTGAACCATGGATCTTCTCAACTCCCTCAAAAACAAAGCTCCCGCCCCGAAGATGCAGTCTGCATCTGACGGCCCCTTGGTCTGGGTTGACTGCGAGGTATGCACCCCAAGCTCAGGCATGCCACTCTTAACCCTAGACTGACTAACACATCCCCAGATGACTGGACTGGATCCGGACAAGGAGGAGATTATCGAGATTTTCTGCATCATCACCACCGGGAACCTGCAAATCGTTGACCCCGAGGGCTGGGGCTGCGTGGTGCACCAGACGGAGCAACGCATGGCGCAGATGGACGACTGGTGCACCAAGACACACGGCGACAGCGGCCTCACAGCGGCGGTCATCAAGTCGACGACGACACCTGAGCAGGCTGCCGACGATCTGCTCGCTTACATCAAGAAGCACATCCCGCAGAAGAAGACGGCGCTGCTGGCGGGTAACAGTGTACACGCGGACCGATCGTTCCTCAACAAGCCGCCCTACCGCAAGGTGGTTGACCATTTACACCATCGCATTCTCGATGTCAGCTCGCTCAAGGAGGCGGCAAGACGTTGGTGCCCGCCGCAGGTCGCGGACGGTGCCCCAGCCAAGCAGGGACTTCACCAGGCCAAGGAAGATATTCTCGAGAGCATTGCTGAGGCCAAGTACTACAGAGAAGCCATTTTTGGCCGGACGTGGAGAGGGCAGGCCAGCGCGCAGGACACGCCGGTCAGTGAACGGGATGAGGACGATGCTTGGGCAGACAACCTGTTGTAGATTGTACTATCCAGAGAGTCAAGCTCGATTCTTCTAATTTGATGAAGCACTGGGATGAGTGAGATATCTTGAGGTGCCTCACCTGCCTTACCTAAGATTGCCTGGTAGCTAATGTAAATAGTTGAATCGATAGTTGACCGCAAGGGTAGCGGGGTCGTTTGAAGACAGTACGCAGTATCCTACGCACTGCTGAATGCTGGTCGACCGCGCACTTCAAACCGTGCGAATGATAGCCACACCCACCAGCACCTCACGATGATTCGCCGGGAAGATCCCCTGTGTTGGGCCCCTGGAAGTGAGGGGCTCTCTCAGAGCTGCCCCTCCTTCATTGTGCGGTGACCCCGCCCACGTCGAGGCTCAGGATGATATCACTGGCCAAGCAAACCCCCACCATGAGGTGGCGGCCACAGCTTTGGCGGAATGGAAGGTACCTTCACCAATGTGTACGAGGTTGGAGGGGCGTTATTCACTAAAAAAAAAAAGGTGCAATCTGAGCCTATCGTGTGCCATATCCCATTCACTGAGGTGCCCCAATGCGTCGTATTCTGCCCACATTAGCTACCTAAGGTATTTCCAGTGGCCTACGGATGCCTTAGTCTCTCACCGCACCAAGTTCCCAATGAAAGCTTTCTAGGCCCCTTGCCCAATGCCCACCACTCCCCGGTCCCACCTCCCGTACCTACGCCAACGCCGGTTCGCATGAGAGACGGAAGAAAGAACCCAGGCAAAGGCGAGACAGAGACACTAATAATTGCAGCTCCATTCCCAACATTCTCCTTTTCCTCTTCTACAACCTAGACAACTCTCCCCCTCAATACCATCACTACTCGAACTATACAGCATCATGGACGTCCAGACTGTCGAGTTCAAGCCTTTCCAGGACCAGAAGCCCGGCACGTACGTCATTTCTCCCCTAACAGAAACAAACCCCTCGCTGTTATCGTCCCCAAACATGTCGAGTCCAACTTTTTGTTGCTACCCCGCCATAGCTGCCAATCGCGCGATGCACCCTCACTCAGCAACCCCATCACTGACTAGCCATTCCACAGTTCTGGTCTTCGCAAGAAGGTCACCGTCTTCCAGCAGGCTCACTACAGCGAGGCCTTTGTCACGAGCATTCTCCTGTCCATTCCCGAGGGCGTCGAGGGTAAATAGCAAAGCCATCTCAGCTTTCGGTCTTGGCAATCGCCCCAGGAAACTGACAGACCGCCTCTCTAGGTTCTTTCCTCGTCATCGGTGGTGATGGTCGTTTCTGGAACCCCGAGGTCGTCCAATTGATTGCCAAGATTGGTGCCGCCTACGGTGTCAAGAAGCTCCTCATCGGCCAGGACGGCATTCTGTCCACTCCCGCTGCCAGCCATGTCATCCGCAAGCGCAAGGCCACTGGTGGTATTCTCCTGACTGCCAGCCACAACCCCGGCGGTAAGACCTCTACACATACCCTTAAAATCATACTCGCCAGCTAAACGATGAACCCATTTCAGGTCCCAAGAACGACTTCGGTATCAAGTACAACCTTGCCAACGGTGGCCCTGCCCCCGAGTCCGTCACCAACAAGATCTACGAGGCCTCCAAGACCCTCACCTCCTACAAGATCGCCAACATCCCCGATGTCGACATCTCCACCATCGGCACCAAGACCTACGGCTCTCTCGAGGTCGAGGTTGTCGACAGCACTGTCGACTACATCGAGATGCTCAAGGACATCTTCGACTTCGACCTCATCAAGAAGTTCTTCCAGTCAAACCCCGACTTCAAGGTCCTCTTTGACGGCCTTCACGGTGTCACTGGTCCTTACGGAACCGCCATCTTCGAGAAGGAACTCGGCCTCAAGGGCGCCACCCAGAACTGCATTCCCAGCCCCGACTTCAACGGCGGTCACCCCGACCCCAACCTGACCTACGCCCACTCCCTCGTCGAGGTCGTTGACAAGAACAACATCCCCTTCGGTGCTGCCTCCGACGGTGATGGAGACCGCAACATGATCTACGGTGCCAACGCCTTCGTCTCCCCCGGTGACTCCCTGGCCATCATCGCCCACCACGCCAACCTCATCCCCTACTTCAAGAAGCAGGGTGTTTACGGCCTGGCCCGCTCCATGCCTACTTCCGGTGCCGTCGATCTGGTTGCCAAGAAGCAGGGCCTGAACTGCTACGAAGTCCCCACCGGCTGGAAGTTCTTCTGCGCCCTCTTCGATGCTGACAAGCTCTCCATCTGTGGTGAGGAGTCCTTCGGCACTGGCAGCAACCACATCCGTGAGAAGGATGGTCTCTGGGCTGTCGTCGCCTGGTTGAACATCATCGCCGGTATCGGCGAGCAGAACCCTGGCGTCACTCCCTCCATCAAGAAGATCCAGCAGGACTTCTGGACTGAGTACGGCCGTACCTTCTTCACCCGTTACGACTACGAGGATGTCGACAGCGAGGGTGCCAACAAGGTTGTTGGTGTTCTGAAGGACCTCGTCGCCGACCCCAACTTCATCGGCAGCAAGGTTGGAGGTAAGTCTACATACAAAATGCCCATCAGAACCCTTAAGAATGAAATGAGACTAACTTTGACAGACCGCACCGTCACCGGCGCTGGCAACTTCTCCTACACCGATCTTGACGGCTCTGTCTCCTCCAACCAGGGTCTGTACGCCACCTTCTCCTCGGGCAGCCGCATCATTGTCCGTCTCTCCGGCACTGGCTCGTCCGGCGCTACTATCCGTCTCTACCTCGAGCAGCACAGCTCCGACCCCAAGACGTACGACCTGGATGCCCAGGACTTCCTCAAGCCCGAGATCCAGATGGCCACCGAGCTTCTCAAGTTCAAGGAGTTCATTGGCCGTGACGAGCCCGATGTCAAGACCTAAGTGCATTGTTGCATGATTGCGTCGCACTTGGACAAAGGGGGATAAGGAGGGGAGTTTTTCAAAAAAAAAAGTAACGCTTCAGTATAGAGAAGTAGAAGATAGGCCAGCACCAAGGTTGCTGTGGACGATGTCACGATGGTACACGATTTGCATAAATTGAATCAATTGACCTAATCACACAATAGTCTTTTGCTTGACGGTGCCCTCCCTGACCCCTTCTCTGGGCTCTTTTCCACGTGTGAATTTTTTGTGCCGCGTAATCATCAATCTCGATCATAAAGGTCGTCAAGTCATTAGACAAAGAGAAAGAGGAATCAAGAAACGCAATGGAACGCATACGGAACTGGGCAAGAAAGGTACCCCTCAGAGCAATCTTCCGGGGTATTTCCTCCGAGATACAAAACATCCGCTCGCTTATCCTCCGCGATACATTGAAGCTGCGTTTGACATTGTCCAGGCTGAAAAGGGGAGGAAAGCAAGACTGCCGTAAAAACTCGTGGAAAGAATTGGAGACGCGCGTGTCAAAGTTCGTTAGAGCGGTTCTTCCTTGGGAAGACGTGGAGGAGACAGGGGCTGGGCGAGTAAGATGCCGGACTGAGAGTAGGTGCATGTCTGCTCACCTACTCTTCGAGTCCCGCAAATCTGTCGAGGTATGTGCCCCGCAAAACGGTGAGTGGCAGTGTCCTGGGGGTGGAAGGTGTCGGTGAAGGGGGGCTCCATATTGGTCCGGAGTCGGAGTGGATATATATATATACCCTTGCCTCGAGGAAGCTCATCACCGGGTGCAATTCATTTGGCGTCCTCGATGGCTTCCATGGTGTCTGTAGATGCCTCGGAGGGATCCGCCTGCGACTGTATTTCCTCGATGAACCGCGTCGCGCCCATATCGGATACAAATTCGATCTCAAAGGCGCCGGCGGAGGATCCTTTCCTCTGGTTCTGCTGATGGTACTGTTGGCAAAAGACGTAAAGCTGGACGTCTTTGAGCCAGATGCGGTGATCTGATTTGCGTACGAGCCAGGTCGGAGAGGCGGATTGGTGGGTGACTGAGATTATCGTGTTTTGTCAGTCTCACGCCCGAAAGAAACCGGAATGTGAGCCAGAGTGAGGATGGAAGATGGTGTAGCAGGATCTTACCGAAAGCGGTCCAAACTGGACAACTCTTGAGTTCGCCATCCCACACTGAAGCTTGGAGACGAAGACCTTGGGTGACGAGGTCGCGGTAGACGATGAGAGAATGCTTGAAGCCATCATCACGGATTTGGCTGCGGTAAAAGGTGTTAGCTATGGTGTCATGGCCGGAGGTGCAATACTGGGTGGATCACGCACGCCTGGAACAGTCGGGATTCACTACCGAGCTTGAACTCCCTTGGACTCATTCTGCTCGTCAAGATATTTCGAGCCTTGAGAGAGACGAACGTGCAGTGGAATAAGACCAATTCTGGGAAACATCAGCGGATGGTCAAACGACAAGTCGGACGAGGGTGAACAGACCCTCCCATGTCTTGAAGTAGAGAGATGCCCATAGTTTGACGCCCATCTGCGAATGACTGTATCGGTCTAGTAGTAAGGCACTGCCCTCCCGCCTCATGAAGATTTCGTGGGTACCAAGTAGTGAGAACCACTGGCCCCCCAAATGATATGTCCGGAGGAGAAAGTAGGGGGTCTCGTTGACATGATTTAGATAGGTCATCAACGCAAGGCGATCCTCGTCGAACGGTCTTAGTTCTGGCGTCAGAAAAACTTTGTCAAGCTATGATTTGCGAGCACATGTACCTTCTGAACAGCATCTTGACCTGTTTGGGAATATTCAGCTGTCCCCACGTTTGGAAAGGACCATAAGCTGTCGATGGTCTGATGTGCTTCAAAGCCGTTCGGGAGGTGAGCGGAAGAGAGAAGATCTGCTCTGCCCAGTGTAATGTCTTGGGAAAGAGGGTTCATCAGCTAAGCTGCCTTTCCCATAACAACGGCACGTACCGGATCCTGAGGTGTTGGTCTGAGCATAACCTCTGGTCGAAGGACAGGCCCGATTTGGGTTGTTGGCGTAGCTTCATAGTATGTGTCAGTCAACCTGCTGCTACTTTGCCTCTAAACGAACATACGGAGTCCTCTTGCTTCTCTCAACTTGATTATCCTAGTTCGAAGCGTCTCTAGGCCATTTAGGTCAAAGAGTGTCGACCTATGTGGCTATTAGTACGTCATCTCCAAGATCGAAGGACAGTTGCTAGCGCGCCTCATGAGAAGGTGTCGGAGAGACTCTAAAAAGCAGTTGTAGAGCATGAACCGCTGAGGTAATGGCAGGCCACTGGCCTCCTGTGTCATCTTGTGGTACATCCTTCGCCATCGCATATCCTTGCTTACGGTTCGATCTTCGTAAAAGCCGGTCATGTCGCGAAGTGTCTTGGAATAACACGGAAGTATGACGTCGAGGTAGTTGAGCAAAATTGGTACCCTGGTGAAATGCATCTGCGATCGGTCCGCCAAGTCTCTCAGCTTCCTCGCAGACCTCCGTATCTCGTCAACAAGACTGGTGATGGTGCCTCCATAAGCCTCAGGAAGAGCCATGCGGAGCCCTTCAAGGCTCACCGATAGAATGTCGGCGCGCTCAGCTTCGAGGCAGCAGCCTTGAAGGAGGCGGTAGTCGATTCTCTGAATGCCCTGCTCCATTTTCCAGACCAACACTGACGGACCGAGCCGAACTAGGAACGTCTGCGTCTCAGGATTTCATCGTCCAACGACCCAGACCTAACCGTTAGAGTCGTAGGATTCCCGCGGCGCCCTCACCTCTTCTATCCGGGAGACTCTCGCCGTGCAATCCTCGGCCTTGTAGGAGTTTGGTTGATCTGTGGTGATCAAGTTGGAGGGAAGGTCGAAACCGTTGCGAATGCCTCATACGGCTTTTGACGATATATCGACCAAGATCGACCACAGTCAATTGTGCCGATAAGAGAAAAGGGACAAAGAGATGGCTTGCTTCATGGACTTAGCATGGTAATCTCAAATATGCAGCGGTAACGTGGTCGCTACACTCGCAGCCACTTACTGGACGGGAAGCGGCTGCAACAGCGATTCGGAGCTGCAGGTCTCGATTTCAACGGCCAGCACGAAAACACACGCCACCACCCCGCCTGACTTCAAACCCAATGATCCAGATCGCTCTTGTTCTGTGTTGGCAGCACACGCCCAGACACCAGGTGCTTGCGTCTGACGTGTCTGAATTTCGTTGTCTTCGTGCAATGATCAGCTATGATTTTGAGGAGGACGAGAGCGTGCACAATTCGCTGGACGTTGGCTATGCTGTGTTCTTTTCTTCGTGAGAGATACGTCAAGTCTTTCCTTGTCTGTCTCCAGCCAGGCCCAAGGTGTGTCAAAAACAACGAGGTATTGGTCGCCTCAAACCTCGAACTACCAAATCGAGTGAACGATCCTTGTGTCAACAGGTTCAGGCCAAACGATGCAATCTGGTCGATTCTAGCAACCGCTACCCAAGATATCGCAAGGAGGGCCTGGGGCCGTAACGGCAAAGAGGAGCGTATGTAGGTCAGATTGCTCTCAGAGAAGGGAGTGTGGGCTCAACACATATTGATCCGGCCACCGACTAGCCAGAGCATGCCACGACAGCTGGGGATGGCCCCATGGGCATGTATGCTTTCCTCTGCATGCATTAGGAACGCTCGACCTGGATCAACGGACGAATGAGGCCGGCCCGGAGCCGGTGGGGTGGAGGTCCAGGTTGTGAGCACTTGCATAAGTAATGCAGACGAACTCTCCTTACAAGCCTTTCCACCATAGACCCGGGGGAACGTAAGAAAACATTGGCATCGAGATACAGATTGCGACGACTAGGTGACCATTTCAGTAATGTAATCATACAAAGTACACTGTCGAGGTAATTGATCGGTCGTGCGATGCACCTAGGTCATCTGAGGAAATGGAAATCTTTGGAAATGCTTGGACGCACTGCTGCGAAGAGCAGCTTGTCTCTCGCGCTCGACAGAATACCATCGATAGATCGATACGAAGGTGGGTGATGATGGTAGCGAACGAAATGTGCGAAGAGGCATACCGAGGATATAGAACTGACAGGCATCAGCTGTGTAGAGCATGTGAAGTGATGTGAAGCATCAAGAATTCCGAGTAGACATTCCCCAACGGCGGGCCACATGCCTAGCCAAGAGTAATCTTTGGCAAATAAATCTGCGGTGCGTGAGATGGAGGCTAAGTATGGACGCGATCGCTTCGTTTTTGCACAATGTAGGCAGGCTTTGGAGGGCCCAGCCTCGAGAGACCCTGGGAGAAGTAGCTGCAGAACATTCGTTGGTTCATCTCATGCGACTAAAAACTACTGGGCCGATATGCGAATTGTCAATACTTGGTGGTGGAGTTCGATAGACTAAATCTGGCTGCGAAGGCCAGGGATCCATGGTGTTCATTGATATAATCGCCTGCCCTTCACTGTAGCCCATGACGATGAGAGCAGGTAGCTGTCCTTGGTTTCTGGAACGGCGAAGACTCATACATTGGTGCCAAAGTACAGATAGTCTGTGGGTAGCAGTGCTGTAGGTGAGGCTAGCAGAGTGTGGTGGATGACCGGGAAGGTTGTTTTCGACACGGCTGGTTAGTATTCGAAGTTTGAAGGAGCCGGCACCCGAAGTGTCTATTGTTGCGGCCATGGGCTCCTTTTATGAGTTTGTACACGAGCACATCCAACGCTTTCGGGCGGGTGAAAGAAGCAGCCTTGTTTCATCCTGCTCAGGCATCCAACATCAACTCCCCAGGCTCGCACCTGCATGCCGTGTCTGATCATCGGGAGGGAAACGCGGCCTTGAAGGGTAAGGCATGAGGATTGAGGAGGTGCTGAGACTGAGACATCCTTCTGTCATTGGAATCCGTGATTGGAGGCAGACAGCTTGAGGTAAGGTAGGTACGTCCCAAGACAGGATACGTACCTCCTTCACTTCCATCCTGCCAGAGCACCTACGGATACCTTAGGTAAGGTAGATGGAATGAAATGGAGATACCTTATCCCCACTTATTCGAGGTCTGAAATCCGATGTTCAGCCGTGGCCTATCTTCACCGACTCACCGCGTCCCCGTAGGTCCACCGACTCACCTCGAATCGCAATCGCGGAAGCGGCTTCAGCTCAGAAGGGAAAGGTCTCCAAGGCCATGGGCCACTCAAGCTGGTCATTCTTTGGCCGTCGGGTCTATATGATCCCCAACCGGCTTCAGGCAAATCTGCATTAGCGGAACATGGCAATCGAGTCGCTGTGCCTTACTAAATCCCATGACACGACGGGGTCGCAGTGATAGAGACCCTTGAGTGGCTGGACAAAACTAAGCCCCATCAACCCAGATCCCTGGACCTGGGGAAGGACCCTTGAGAACAAGGGCAGAAACACCATACTACCATGATTGGCGCATCACCCACCCATACACACCTTCACTGTAACATTCACTCACATTGCGATGGAACAAAAAGGTAGTTATGTATGTTTGTCAATGTGTGAGCCGTCAAATGTCATTGTGTCCCAATCGTGGACAGTTTCATTCCGCGACGGGCGGCATGACCAGCTCTGCTATTGACGCGGGGCGGCGTGAGAGCTTCGCCTGCCTCAAATCCGCCTTCCTGCCGATCCTGAATAACGAGAAAAGCAACCCATTTCAATACCATCATACACCGCCGAGCCCAAAGTTACAAGGAAAGTCCGAAAGATGTGCGCAAAAACTAACTCCACGCCACCCGTTCGGACTGAGAAGCAGCAGAAAGACAGCAATCAAGAGGACTCATCCTCCTCTTGTTCGGCCTTTAGAGTGACTAATTAGCTTCAGCACAACACGGCCAGATGGAGTGGGGGTTTAGGGGTGTCTTACGTTGTATGCCTGCTTCTCGTCCTCGTAGCGCTTCTTGTCGGTGGCAGCCTTGGCCTCATAGGGACCGCGCTGCTTCTCGTTGAGGGCCTTCCAGCGCTCACCGAGGATCTTGCCGACCTGTCCGAAGGAAATACCGGGGTTCTCCTCACGAACGTTCTCGCGCTGCTCGTTGGCGAAGAACATGTAGGCGGAAAGGCCACGCTTGGGGGCGTTGGGGTCTGAATAGCATGTTAGCTACATGTTCATGGCAAGATAACTGGTCTAGATAGGCGCAGCGCAAAGCGGGCAAGTCAAAAGTCGTCCGAGGCGTGGCCCAGTGGAATCTTATTGAGACTCCCTTCAGGCCCAACCTCTCTGTACGTCAAACTTGCCCAAATTTCACAACGGCTCAAGACAAGGATCGATTTGGCAACGTACCCTTCTTCGCGCGCTTCTTGGTGTCCTTAGCGGCACCTCGCTTGGTCGCGGCCTTAGGCATTTTGGTATCTTGAATATGGTCAGTCAAGCTGCTTTAATGTCGAGATGAATGTGATGGTATGACGAAGAGCCAAGGGTGAAGAATGTGATGGAATCGGCGCGACATGACGACTGACGGCAAAGCCGCCGCGCCGTTATGCCGGAAAGCCATAGTGCAAGAGGACCGCGGTGCAGCGAGAACCAGGGTGTGTGGGTGGTTGAGTCGCAAGTGCAATTGCGCTCGGTAACGCGAGGTAATTGCAATTTGAAGCTCAAAGTCGTCCAAGAGGGATCGTAAAGCATACCTGAGGAGGTTTTTGAGAGGTGGAAAGAGAGGTGTTGATGTGGTGATCTGGACGCGTCAAGCTCTTGTTAGCTAGAAAGCTCTATGGTTGAAGCTGGTTGATGGACGAGCGTGTAAGAGACGAAGAGGTGCACGCCAAAGTTCGAAGCTCAACAACGGATCGCACCCACGATATCGACTTGTTAAAAAGCGATTTCTGAGTCGCAAATCGAGGCAGAGTGATCGAAATTGTAGCGACAGTGAAAATAGAAGAGGATGATGTTGCGCGTGTATGTTGCGGTGGTTGATGGTGCAAGTGGGCAATGGTATATGGGCAGCAGGTACTCACGGGGTTGAGTGCGAAGGCAGTAAAGTGTGGTATTGTGAGAGTGCGGATTGTAAGAGAGGAGGATTTGGGTGGGAGATTTGTATGGGAGAAGAAGAGGGAGGGAAATGTATGGGGGGAGGGCCAAGCAGCCTTTTTACTATGGGGGGAGTGATTGTGCGGGAGCAACGCGCCTGGGTGCACTTGTTTTTGCTGGGAAGTCTGGGACGGGGCCAGGACTGACTGCGACTGGCGACTGGGCGAGTGGACTGGGGGTGGTACTTCGTACCGTGTGCGAGACTGAGTGAGAGACTGGGAGAACTGAGGAAGGAAGGGGTCACCGTGGACGGGCTCTCCTCCTCTTTCTCCTTGGATCACTCCAAATCATCTTTTTTTTGGCCTGCGCAGGTGCGGACGCTTGTCACTTTCGCTTTCCCTCCCGTCGCTTCCTCGCCTGTGCCTGGGCTTGCTGCTGCACGCTGAATGGCTAGGAGGGGATGGGTGTCTGGGTAGGCTGGGCAGGTATCCGTACCAAACCAGACGACGGGCAAAAAAAAAAAAAAAAGAGGTCTGCGCACTGGCATTGGCAACACTTGTCACTGGGTGGTAACTGGCGGCATTGGCCTGGTACTGGGCACACCGGGCACCCGCCCACCAAGCGAAGGGCACAAAAGAGGAGAGAGGCAAGAGAGGGGGAAGGCGCGATGAGAAGGGAAAGGGTGTGGGCGCGCCTTCCCTCCCTGACAGTCGACGTGCGCACCCTTCCCTTCTCTTGCCTTTTGCTCCAGAGTCCAGCTTGACCCTTCTTTCCCCATCCTTCTCCTCCCCATCATCCTCCCCCCATCCTACGTGGAAGTCCAAGTCCCTCCTAGTTACAGTCCGCGCCCACCCACAAGGTAAAGGTACCTTGCACCAGAGACTGCCGTGCAAAGTACCTCACGTTCCTTTCACACCTTGAGTCTGCCTACACCCTTCCTGCTCGTCGCATCTGCCAGGGGACAACGACTACACACACCTTGAAGCGGCCAGCTACGGATACATGCTCGAAAGTACCCCAGTACCTGGATTAGTACGGACAGATACCTCCCTACCTTACGGATACTTCACCTTAGTATGCAAGTGCGTCCGCACGCAACCTATTGGCCTGTTAATTGAAGTCCATGGCAATAAATCAAACTGCGGAACCAGAACAGACCAAGTTAGGTGTGGACAATGCGCGATCAGAAGTTGCGAACGTGCTGGCGATGCGATGGAGAAGGAAGGAGCGACATATTACCTACTGCGTATCCAGCAGCATCTTGCAAGGCAGGCGCCAATGGCCTTAGCTTCAGGTGTACGGAGTACTATGTAAGGTATCCGTCCAGGTGGTCGTGGCCGTAGCCAAAACCGTACCTGGCCAGGTAACAGAAGCAGGGAAAAGAAGCAGGATCTGGCCCATCCTGCGGTGCTCTTCTTTTGCCTTCCGTCCTCGTCTCAACCCCTCGGGTCTGGTCCAGCTTGTCGCCCGCTTCCCATCCATTTCAATCACTCCATCCTCGGACAGTCCTTGCTCTTGGTGTGCCGCTGCTATTATTATGTGGTACTGTACAGGTACAAAGCGCACGCAAAACTCCGCACCGAAGTACTGTACATCCGCTTTGTACCTGGGTTTTATATCATCTTTTCGTACTGTGTACTTTACAGCCGTCGCGCCTTCTTTCTCCGCTTGCTACGTACGGCTACGTGCCGGCTCTTTCGCCAATGTCTGAGGTGAGGTGCGGTTGAGTCCTGTGCCTGCTCCTGCTTTTGCTTCGCTCCCTCTTCCAGTCTTAGGTTCCTTTTGAAGCATCTCGTGCTTTCCTTTCCGTCCACCTTACCTTACCTTACCCCACCTTACCTTCCTCCTGTCACTGTCCACACGGACCATCTCTCGTCCATCAACCGACTTCTCCAGTCTTCAGTCTCGCCCAAGTTGCCATTCCCAGTCCCTCCCCCTCTACTTCTGACTGCTTTCGTTCCCAGCAGTGAGAGACCGAATACTGGCTCGTCAAGCTTCAGCTTCTTACGAATCCCATGTTACCATCCATTTACACCCCCATGTTATCGACAACTATCATTTGGATCCACGGCCTCTTTCTTCAACACCAGCCATCACCCATCCATTCGAGGATGGTTCCGCGCATGCACCATTAGCCTAGCATACCATGCTACTTATACCATCCTTCATACGACAGTGATGCGATACCACTAGGCATTGACAGCCTAAGGGAGACGACCTTGTGTACCTATTCGTACTCCCAGATCGCAGAGACGTGCAGTGGCACACCTACTCCGTCCGACTGCACTTGGCCTGGACCAGGCACTTTTTCGTCATCTTCATGAGCGCTAAGATACTTCCGATCCTCCCTACCGCCTGTTGAATGGCAAGGGCCCGTTCGCTAGACATGCCGTAGGTACATCGGTCAGACATTGAAGACCGAACACGTACGGGGAAGACGGAAGTCCAATAGCCAACGTTGCCTCGACATTTCCAATTCAAGGCAGTAAGATCCCTTACACCTTGGCGACTCTTCCATTAGGTAGATGCATCTGCTCGGTACAGCATGTCGGATGGTCGATCACAGCAGTTGAAGCTTCTTTTCGCCAACTCTCCGTGGAATTCGAGGTCTGCACGATTTGAATCAGGTCTATGGGACGACATCACTTCCTTCGCCATCAAAGCAAACCTTCGCCATGGGAGACAAGCTATACCTCGGACACACTAACATGTCCATCACTTGCACTTTGCTGGGGCTGTGGGTGTTAGTGACCTCATGTTCGCGACGTTGTCTCCTTAGCGTCTTCCGCTGACAAGCCTTCGCAACTTTCGGCTGTTTACCAAGACAACAAGGCTCGGCCGGCTGGATTATGGATATTGGGAAATCGATGGAGCACCTGTGGTGTGGTGGAGGATTCAATGTTTGGAGAATGGAGGAACAAGTTGGCTTACACACTCTCACACACTGTGTAAGTGATTGTGCTTCCTGAACATCGCTGCGCAATTTCATCCACACTAAAACACCACTCGACACACTTTGCGGCATTCCCCTCTTCAAAGTGGCTTGTCCTATCAACACCCAAGGACATCGCCTCCAAAACGCACCAAAGTCTATAGGCACCGTCGGCTCAGAGTTCTCGACAAACGCTCCGTGTCCGGCTCGCCCTGGGTTGCTGGTCCACGCGGTCAGACAAGATACATACACAGTACGGCAGACCCCATGGTGGCTTTCATATGCGGCACAGATTGCAACACCATTTAGCTGAGTTCCGGCGTGAAGCCACCCACCAGCTTTCGACGTGACTTGGAGAGCCCCTGAGCCCATAGGAGCTTACAGCAACTGACTGGGGCGCCTCTAGACCACTCGCTATCGAAGCATCCACTCATCGTATTACTAAGAATCGACCTCATCCAAAAAACCGAGCTAAACTGTGATCTCCTGGCAGTCAGGGGCACACCGTCGGCTGGTGTGCACGGAGGCGTAAACTCAGCTTCGGGTGACGAGGCGTGATGCGAAGCACCTCACGCTGTTGCTCAGGGAGATGTGACATTGGAACGACCGGAAGTCATGATGACTGACTGATGGGGATGGCATTCAGGCTGGCCGAAACGGAATCTGGGTACTTGATTCATGCATACGCCCCATGTACCGTCATACGAGATTGTCTTGTACCGCTACTTGGCCCAAGGTACCCCAAACGCGGTCCACCGACTCCGGAATCAGCTTGGGCGAATGCGCCCAATCACTCCTCATGCGCAGCTCACGGTACACTTGGGACCTCCCCAGCCTCCCCTCTGCCATCGATTCCAACATCATCCATCCGCCTCCGTAGTGTCTATTGTTGGACACTCCTAGAGCAACCTGCTTCTGCAGCGGATGCGTGGTTGCGCAGTACATACTGTTCCAAGTTACCCTCCGCCGCCAGGTGATCGACGAAGGGCTTACTGGTAGGTACTATTTAGCGATCAGCTATGTTCAACACATCCTATGCTGAAAGCGAGTCTACTCCGTACAGAGCCGTAAGCTTCACATTAAATAACGGAGAAAGAGCTGCGTTACTATTTGCGGAGCTTGACGATTGCATGGCGACCGGAGACCGACGGCGAGCGGCGTGTCTATCTCGTCTCTGTTCTACGTCTTCAACACCGACACACCACGAAGCGGGCAGCAGCCAGGCGGTGCAACGCTCCCGGCGTCAAAGAAGGGTGGAATACTTCGTCATGCGCACAAAGTGTGCGGGCGTCTCGTGTACCTCGAGGCATAAGACTGGGTAATGCCTGCAACGACAATCGATACGGTCCCCCGCTCCAATGCACCCAACGCGCACCCAAGACGCCCAATGCAGGTCTCCTCTGCAAATTGGCAAGCCAGCAGCGCGTTTTGCCCATGAGCCAGACAAGCCGTGTCTGCCCAGGACTCCAGTAGGAGGGCGTTGCCGCACCATTTCACCATTCCAGTCAGGGCCGCCGGGCCCAGCCATTTTGCTTTTGCCCGCTTGTTCCCTGTTTGGCTGGGCTAGCACTGGGAAGGCGGTGGTAACGGGCTGGCGAACAAAGTGCGCAAAGTACCGACGACTTGCAGCGGATACACGGAGCCAGGCAATTTCGCTGGTCTGGTTGCCTTTGTTTTGCTGATACTGTGCTGTACCTGATGGTCCCTCGGCAAATATTGGCCCTCCCTGACTGAAGGCTCTCCCACTTTCTCACTCAATCACTCTCTCCCACACACCACACACACCCCCTCCCAAGCCAAACACTCTTGCTGCTCACGCCTAGGACCTGCACACGAGAGGTACATGGAGAGTCGGAGACTGAGGTGCAGTGTAGACTGTGTAGTTCAACGCGAGCCCATGCTCCACTCCTCCTGGGCCTCCTGGCTGATCTGTCGCAGCAGACACAGAGCTTGACTGACGGGGAGTGCAAAGCTCCCCCCAACTTTCAGTCCCATTTTCCCTTCCCTCTTCCCTCTTCTAGACGGACCTTGAGTGACGTTGATTATCTAATCTAAAAGGCATGATTCTTCTATGGTCACAGGGTATGTAATGGAAACGCGAAACGCGTGGTTCATCGCGACGCTTAAGCTGTTCACGGCGTCTGGGAGCTCTCGAGTCTTGTCACTTTGCGCGCGAAAGTCACCATAACGGAAGAGGATGAGCTCACTGCAACTGCTTTATCAAGCCCCGTGACGTTTTACGGGTCCTCTTGAAGATATTGAAACGCGTTTCATCAGACAATTTTTATTCTTTGCTATCTCATAGTTTCCAGCGATCCAGCTACATAAGGTAGGTAGACAGAGCAGCTGATCAAGCTCAAGCATTGGCCACAGGAGCAGATCTCGGAGCCAAGCTCACCCACGTGATTCGACATCACCGTGGTCATAGCGTCCGAGGTGCCGCTAAGCCCTGTCCAGTTTCGTGAGCCGGCAGGGGCCGAAGGTGAGCTTGAAAACCAAAAAACGCCTTCGGGTGGTGCCCTCAGGTGCCGATGCCGTGCCGTACGGATACGCTACTATGAGCAACAGCAAATCGATCGTCCGCAGGGCAGGGCGAGCGCCATGATCTGGTGATGCCAACCGTATGGCCCGACGACCTAGACCGCGGTCACGACTTGACCGAGCCTCTGGAGGTCCGTACCTGCATACAACCTGCGTAGGGCGGGTTGAAGCGAACGTTCCAACGTACTGAGGTCTTGAGTTTCGGTCCATTCCATTTGACGAGCCCCTCAAACCGGTGGTAATACGCCATTGTAATTGGCACCATCTCATAGTCCTGATTCCTGAGATGATGTGGTCATGATAAGATGGGCCTGCGAGCCTGGCTACCTACTACGTAGACTCATTAGGGGTAGCCAGGTAGCCTATGGCCCTCTGGCTGGTCGCCTCTGACCCTTGCTTTTCGTGCCTCTGTCCACCCTGCCCCATGCGTATCGTGGGCCAATGTGAGCTTCTGATCTCCAAGGTCTAGCAAGCTTTTCACTATTCGTCATCTTCGGGGTCCAGTACTACCTCGCGCAGCGCTTCATCTCTGGACCAGTCTACGCCGCTGCCAACGACCACAGCGCTGGCGGTGCCTTTCATAACTTTCCACCGCCGTATGCTCGCCTTCACCTCGGCTTCAAGTCTGGCTATCTCCGCCTGCACGGCGGGGTCGTCAGTCTCGCCCGCATTTCTCTTTTCCGCATCCTCAGTAAGCCTGAGGATCTCGGCTGTGAGCTCCACGTTTTTCCGGCCGACTCGTAGGCTCTCGGCTTCCACCTCAGTCAGCTGCTTGATGAGGCTGCGGATGTCTTCTGATTTGTTGGCGAGGGCGACAGAGACGTTGTCGCGGGAGCGGATGTGTGGTAGGAGGTCACTGCTTCCTGTTAGCACTCAGACATCAAAGTTTAGAGGTCATAGTTTAATCATGGATAAAATGATAGTGATTTTGTGATCACAGAATCAAGAATGGACGTACGTTTCGATGGGCGTTGACTGTGTGCTCCCATGGACAGCTTTGAGGATGGGGTTGGCCGTCATGACACTATCCGTGATATTGTTCCTCAGAAGCCATCCCGCACGCGCCGTCGACGCGTCCTGCTGAGCCTTTCTCACATTTTCTTCTGTGCTTGGTGTTGTTGAGTCTATCTGTACCCGTTAGCAATGCGGACTTTTACTGTCGGTCGTCTTGATATGGGAAGTGTGTACCTGAGACATGGCTCTGTTGTGCCTTCACCAGGGCGACCTTGATCTCGAGGTCGCGAAGCTCATCGTAAAGAGCAAGGACGCGCTGCTCGTCATTGGAAAGTAAAAGGGTGGGCACTTGATCGGCTTTGTTTGCTGTCGAAAGGCTTCGATTTGGTAGCTCATCCATGGTCGAAAATGATTTCTACCATCTGATGGCAGAAATTCAGGTTTGTATGGGATGAGCCCGGTGTCCGAGATGTCACCGCTCCGCCCTCCGGACGCGACGCGCGACTCACACTCAGAATCGCATTCAAAAACCCCCGAACTCACGGAAACTCGGCGGCTTTTGGCTTCGGATCCGGATGGATGGTGGAGTAAGGTAGGAACTGAGTATGAAAGTTGTGGCGGGTGCGGCGCGGTATGTCTTCCATTCCATGAGTGTCAGCCCCATCCCTGGAGCCGTTATCTTATCAGTGGCTGGTGCCGTATGACTGTCCAATCAAATGACTCAAGACATCACGAGGCGGCGTCACGCTATGCCTCCCAAAGGTTTTTAGTGGGTTTGCAGCCTGCACGAGCTCTGTAGGGCGCCTCAGCGGTCACGTCTTGGAACCTGGCGAACGAACCGCCTTTGCGCTTTTGCAACAACCGACGTTCGTGCATACTTCTGTCTTTCTCTCGGATCCTTTGCAACGACGACGAAGACGACGGCAACGAGTCAAACGACGACAGCGATTTCCTTGCGCGCGCGTATCGTACGATTTTACCGGGCGACGGCCTTTGTCGACTCTAACACATAGCTACGCCAAACCCTTGAAACTATTGCTGCAAAGACCGGACTGCAGGCTAGGCTGTCGCAGCTCTTCTTCTCTTCGGAGATGTTCCGGGGATGGCGACGCAGGTGTTGATAGCCCATACGGGCCAGCGTCTGCAGGTGGACACGACACAGTTTTCTGCGTATGTCAGGTTTTGCCTCCTTGTGAGACCGAGAGAAAGCAGGCTGACAGCTTCATTCGCAGGCTCGATGACCTCAAAGCCTGGATCGCAAGGCATACGTCGATTCCGGCGCACCAGGTTGTTGCTTTGACTGCCCAAGGTCGGAGTGTCAAGCTGCAGACTCTTCACCAGGAGGTACGACGCCCCTCCTATTTACGGGTCAGAGAGAGAGAGAGACCTTGAAGCTGACCTGCTGGCGCAGACCGAGATCTACATCTACGACATTCGAATATCGCAACCAAACTCCCCCAACGTCGCCTCGTCTCCAAAGTCCGAGCTCCCCCTTCCTAAGCGATATGCTGTTCCGAACGCCCCCAACTACATAGGCAATATTCGTGTTCTATCAGAATGGCAGGCCCTCTACAAGGAGCGCCAGGCATGGGCCCGTGGCATCGTCGATGACTCGGCACGTATGACGGCCGAGATTCAGGAGCGGTATAGCGAAATGGACGTCATGGTCAAATGCCTCGATGCAGCTGTGGCCAATCTGGAGATCAGTGTGAAACAGATTGAACCCAAGTACGCCGAGCTCAAGAAATGGGTAGAACCTGCGCTGGGCGAGTACGAGCAGCTTGCCGAGAATTGGGAGCACTACCTCACCGTGGCGCGCAGTGTGCCCATCTCTGCTGCCATGGTGCGTTTCATGACCTCCAGGGACCTCAAGAAGAAGACGACGACGCTGGAAGACCTGATCGAGATCGACACTGCGAAGAAGTCTGGACGGTTGGCGCCGACATCCTTGAAAAAGTTCACCACCAAGGCGACGGATCTGGAGAAGGCCGCGAAAATGATGTATGGCGGACTTGAGCAGCTGATAGGGGACTTTGACAGCCTTGTTGGTCGTTCGGCGCTGTCGCATAGTGGCGAGGCGCAGCAGTTGCTCCAGGATGTCGAAGCCGTGGCCAAGAAGATAGAGACTGATTACCACGTCGTCCTGGAGTACCAGGATACGCAGCCCAACGTCCTTCAAGCCTCGCGGACGGCGGAGAACCACACGTCACGCCTCATTCCAAGCTTGAAGAAACGCTCCGCGGAGATGGATGATATGCTGCTCTATGTCACGCAGGCACGGAACGCCATATCGGCCGATTCAATTAGTTTTATGCGCAACATCACCGAGATCACCACATTACACAGCAGCGTTAAAAATCAGATTAATGTCTTGAACCAAGCCGAGGACGACATGACGACCTTTGACTATTTGCGTCTCATTCACCAGCTCCCGTACATGTACGCCTCTTTCGTCTCCGAAGCCGTTCGGCGTCGGGAGTGGTCCGACAAGATCAAGACGGATTCGTCGACACTGGCCAACGAGATGGCACTGTTCCAGGACGAGGAGTCAAAGAGACGGAGGAAGTGGCACAAGATGGTCGGCAGCATGTACGGATCAGACAAGACTGAGGCAAACGTACTTGGACTCGAGGTCAACTTGCTCGGCGAAGAGGAGACATGGCCCAGCATGGTCAAGCGGGACCTGGAAGAATTCCTGGAGCATCTCCAGAAGCAACAAGCCGAAGTGGACATCATTGAGGATGTGATGAAGCTTGTGAATGAGTTGAGCAGCCCTACGAAGCAGCAGTCGAAGAGGCTGAAGGCCTTCAAGAATGGCAGTGTCCATGAAGCCGCCCTTGGACGAAGTGGCTTGATGATCCGTGGCGATGATGAGTTACTGCGCAGCCTCCAAGACGACAAGTCGAAGCTCGAGAACAAGTTGAAAACGGCGGAGAGCCGTGTACGAAGATTGGAAGACTTGCTTCACAGACAAAGCGCAGCTTCTCGACCTGGTATTGGGGGCTTGTTCGGACACGAGAGGAATGATTCGACCAACTCCGTCAGGTCGACAGCGACAGTTGATGACCATCGACGCTCTACAGGAAACTCAGAAGCGCTTTTGCAGAGGATACAACAGCTCGAAGGTGAACTGAATGCTCGTCGGGCATCTGATCAATCAGAGGCTTTGGCGAAGCGAGTGCAGCAATTGGAGAGCGAACTGGATCAGCGTCAATCATCCAACGATAATGAGGTCCAGCAAAGAATACAGCACCTTGAAAGCGAGCTCAATGCCGAGAAAGAGAAATCGGCGGCGTTCGAAAAGGACCTCAGCGTCCGGGCTACAGCGCACGACGACGTCAAGGACCGAATGGAAGAGGCCAACTCTACTAAGAAGGAGCTTCTCGAGAATATGGAGGCCCTGCAGCGGGAATTTGTCGAAGAGCGCAAGTCTCTGGAGAACGAGATCAAGGGACTCAAGGCCCGTATCGAAGACACCGAAGATGAGATTGAGAATTTTGGCGAGTCGAGAGAAAACGAAAAGGCTACCTACATTGAGCGAATGCACGAGCTAGAGGCTGAGGTCGACAGGCTACAGAAGGAACAGAAGGATGAGGCCCTCAAGACTCAGGGCCAAGTCGACTTCCTACGCAACGAGGCACGACTCCAAAGGGAACAAAATGAGTCTCTCGACAAGCAGCTGCAAACCGCTAACGACGAGGCCAAAAAGCTTGCCAAGGTACTGGGCACTACGCAAGAGATGGCTGAGACACAAATGAAGGCGCTCCGCGATGTTCACGACCAGCTGTCGCCGAACGATGACACTACCGAGGACCTCAACGATCTCATCGACGCACTCATCTACCGGGCTACTGATATTACCGCTAATATGAAGACCCTCGAGAGCGACCGATCAATTCTCAAGGCCGATCTGGAACAAGCTGACGAGCAGATCAAGAACCTAAAGGCCACAATCTCTGAAACGAAGAACAAACTTACTTCCGAAGAAGACAAGTCCCGGCACCTGAAGGAAAATCTGGAGGGAGAGAAGGCTCGTGTGACTGCTCTTGAAAAGGAGGCCGCCGAGGGCCGAGAGCAGCTTGATCAGCTTCGTGCCAAGATTGCCGATGGCGAGACGGGCTCGGAGAGCCTGAGGAAGAAGCTCGACGAGGAAGAAGGACGAATCAGTTCTATCGCCGAGGAGCTTGCATCCAGACAATCCCAAGTCGGCAGCCTCGAGGAAGAGTTGCGACTCTACAAGGAGAAGATGGAGAAGTCTCAGTCTAAGCTCTCAGCTGTGCTTGGTCACTTTGAGTCTAGATCTGAGAAGACTAAGGATTTGACACAGCGTCTTTACTCTCAGAACGACAGATTGTGCCGGCTGTTGGAGCGACTGGGCTTCTCAGTCACTCGGCAGGACGCGACCATGACAATCCAAAAGGTTCCTAGGTCCGAGAGGGGCACTATGAGCCAATACCACGCCGCAAACGACTCGTCTGATCCTAGTCAGTCCACGATTCGCCGCTCCGGCATGCTCACCAGTCGCACTCTGGCCGATAGCACCGACCTTGAGTTGCTGTACTGGATGAATAGCAATGATGCCGACGCAGAGACCGAGAAATACGAGGCTTTCATGACACGGCTGGGCACGTTCGACATGGATTTGTTTGCTGAGACGGTCTACAAGCGTGTCAAGGATGTTGAGCACCTTGCCCGGAAACTCCAGCGAGACGCGCGCGCGTACAGGGAGAAGGCGCACACCCTTCAGCGGGACTCGCACGAGAAGATTGCCTTCAAGCACTTCAAAGAAGGCGACCTCGCTTTGTTTCTGCCCACCCGAAACCAGACGGCTGGCGCATGGGCTGCTTTCAATGTTGGCTTTCCTCACTACTTTCTGCGGGAGACAGATGCCCATCGTCTACGATCCCGCGAGTGGCTCGTGGCTCGCATCACAAGGGTACAGGAGCGCGTCGTGGATCTTTCAAAAAGCATGCATAAGCAACTCCCCGATACCGACTCGGTTAATGGCGAAGAGGACGATAACCCCTTCCAGCTTTCCGATGGTCTGCGGTGGTACCTGATTGATGCGCACGAGGACAAGCCCGGCGCGCCCGCAACGCCTGGGCTGGGCAAGTCTACCATCGCAACGAACAATGTCGAGGCTATGGCGGACATGCACACACACGCGCAGACAAATGGCAAGGACAAGCAGCGCGCCAACACCCATAGCATCGAAGGCGTTAGCAAGGCGCTTAGCAAGAGCCTAGAGAGCCGTCGGAGCAGCTCCAACTCGAAACGGGCTCTCCCCTTTGCTGTAGGTGGCGGCGGTGCGGCACTCCTCAAGGGTAACGCTTTGGGCAGCGAGACAAATTCTCTTCGCGCAGTCGCTCCGGATACGCCGACCGAGACGAACCACCCTGAAGAAGGACAAGTGGGACCGTCCACGAATGGACACGAGCAGTCGGGACAGGTAGGGCAGGCATCGAGCCCGCTTGCGGAAGAGGGTCAGGCCGATAGACCCAGGTCGCCCGAGGTACGGAACATGATCGATTCTCTCGTTGGCCCCTAGACCAGCAAGAAAAAGCCTCCCCCGTTTCTCTCTCTGTGTCTCTTTCTCTCCCTCCCCATCCGAGGTTTAACCGCCTTCTCACTGATTTCGGTCAGAAAGCTCGATCGCCCTTGAGGCTGCAGCGTCAGAGGAGCGGGGTCAGCGTCGAGAGTCCGACGAAGAAGAGCGTGGTTTGGGATTCGCTTTGGAGCGTTGACCTGAGCTATGAGACTGGTGGTGGCGGCGGAGGCGCGAAGAGGAAGTGGGAGGGCCCGGAACGCCGGTAGAGAGAGACAGAGGGAGAGCCTGTGTGGAGGGGTTGGGTTGTGGAGGAATATTGTACGAGCATTACACAATACCCGAAGCCTCCTTTGTGAAGAAGGGGGTGTCTTTGAGGAGTTTTTTGTGCTTTTGTCACCCTTGGCCTGGGGCCCTTTGCCGACCTAGCATTCATCCTCGGACGCTGGGTTATGACGAGTGGTTCTTTGTATTGGTTTCTTCGATGGATAAAAGGGAACATGGGAGGATCCTCGGAGCGCGGCGGCGTAGCATACTGCCCAAGGACGTCGATTGCCACCTTTTGGTGAGAAGAGATCCGACGGGGATGGCACCGGATGATAGTCGTGGTGACAACGGAGCGAACTTGAGGACGGAGTTTCTTGACATCTTTTGGGCACTTTACTCTTGGGACTGGAAGAGAACAAGATGGGGCTTTGCAAAGGATTCTGCATGCATAGCGTGCTTGGGATAGAGGCACCTTAGAAGTATCTTTTTTTTCTGAATACATTTGGTGCTCTTGTTTACCTTTTAGGGACTTTCTAAGGTCATGTGCATAGTGTGGCGTGATTCTTCAACTTTGCGATTTTCTCTGGCTAACATTGTGCTGTCTCTAAGTCTGGACATCATCAAGTGCCCTACACTGTATTTAATGCTACCTCGCACAATGCTGATTTATTCATTTCTTTCCATTGGTATTGCTCCAACCGAGGGTGTAATAAGTCAGGTGACGGACCAGCCTGACTTGGATGTGATCTCCTTGTGTCTATAATCTTGTTGTTCTTGAAGCCTTTGAGGACTCTGGAACGGCTTTCATGAGTAGCACAATACTCTTAAGCCATCATTGTTAGCTTGATCTTTCCCTCCTTTGCCTCAGAATACAATATTTTCTTTCACAGTTCTGTAAGGTCTCTTTGGACCTAGAGGCAAAGATGTTCGGTGCTTGCAGTACGGGCAGGCTGTATGATTCCTACTTGAACGAGAGCAAGAACGACGAAAACACATCGAAAATCGAGGTCATTACACAATCCCAACGTAGAAAGATTGATTGCCGGCAATCAATAGGACTGTGAAGAAGAACACTGTCAATACTAGAGGTTTCAACGAACATCTAGACATCCTCATACAGCCGATTCGACGAGCTCCCACAAGGTTCTCTCAGCCGATTACAATCCACACCGTATTTTACACGAACACCGTATCACCAAGACACATTTGACAGAATGGCTGCCGCCGCCGCTCCTCAACAGTGGGTCGCACCGACAGGGGCCACAGCATATCCCAAGATTGGAGTGATTCTCGGGTGCGCCCCAGACGACGGGGACGTGGATCTCGCATACAAGATTCTAGGTTTACACAGCAGAGACGCCGCCATACCGGCAGTCCGGCCGCCGGCTCACGAGTTCGTGCACTGGTGCAACCGTTTGATTGCCAAAATCTATGAGGAAAGTCTCGAGTTCCAGCTCGGGTCCGTCGGCCACCGGCGGTTCCTCGAGGCTAGCAGACGGGTCCGGTCAGCCATGCACACAATTTCCGGGATCCGGCGGCCCGGGCACGAAGATTGGCAGATATTTGAGAATACGTGGATCAGTCACTGGAAGCCTAATGGTACTTGTGACGATGCGCCGGTTGACTTGACGATTGCCAACTGGGATCAGAATGTGCCTACTCCTGCGACGAAGACTATTTTCGATGCGACGTATGGGCCTGATAGACAGAAGGAGAGGGACGATCGGGCGCGAGATCATCGGAAGATGGGCAAGACGTGGATGGCGACGAAAAACATGGTTCGGGATGCGCGAGAAAAGGAGGCCGAGGAGTGGCAAGATCTTGTTGCTTGTTATGGGTTTCAGGCTAGGACGAATTTCCGATTTAAGGGCAACGATCCTGAGTTTCACGAGGTCGAGACGGATGACGAGAACGACGAGGGAGAAAATGATGAGGAGGAGGAAGAAGAAAGTGGAGAGCAGGAAGAAGACGCAGAAATGCGGGATAAGAATACCGAGGAGCAGGGAGAGGATGCCGCCGAGCAAGAGGAGAGCAACAATACGCAAGGAAAAGCTAGAAGTCCAAAGGGGAAGGGGAAGGATCCGGAGTTATACGGCATCATTCCACAGAAAGAGGGAGACAGTAAGGAGGAGCTCCTCCCATACACCTTCTTCGCGAGCCCTGTGCCGAAGGGCGAGGATAGTTTGTGGTATTCTCTCTCGTAAGTCCCCCCCTCTCCCACACTTATTCTTTTGTTTCGCCCCAGACCGTCATTACTGAGAACCCGTTCTAACTCTTACAGCGTCCTTGTTCACAACCGGTGTGATCTCGCCAAGACTATCAAGGGCAGACTGGCCAACTGGTTTCATTCCCAGCTATCGGACCCCGCTTCACCCCGTTTCCGGATGTACTGCCAACTCCTCGTGGACTCGGCTACGAACGTGTCCAAGGACAAAATCAAGGAATGGGGCCCTCTAGATCTCATACGCTGCCTCAACAGAAACGAGCGGGACGCTGGCCTACCCAAGGAGTCCGCGTACCACGAGATGCTCTACCTCATCGCTGACTACTTTGGCACCGAGGTGATTACCTTTACGCGCCCTGACAAGCCCCGTGAACCGTCAGACCCGGTAACGACGTTTCCTTCCAGCCGCGAGGCCTCCCCAGAGCGAAACGGCCAGCCAGGTCCTTCGGGTACTCAGTCCAATAATGAAGCGATCGCACGAGAGAGAACACCCAGCGAAAATTCACCCCCACCAGAAGAACCTTATGCAAACCTTTGGCTGGAGGAAGGAAGACAAGTCTTCAAGATGAGAGTGTATGGAAGTATACCCCGGGAGGGGTATATTCTGGACCCCGACAACCAAAAGAGAGAGCAGATTCTCCTCGTTACTGACTCTAAGCTAAGGTATTTTCAGCCCGTCACGCGAGTAAGTCCCGAACTGCCGTCAGCGGTAAGAGGCGGGCATTACATCGGCACGCGACCTTACAAGATGTGGGAGCGCTGGCCACCGATGCCGTGGTGGCCGGGGGCTAAGTACCATGATGGCAGTAAGAAATGGGTGGGCGCCTGGTCCACGACCGACGGGCGTAGTAGCATCACCGACGACCAGCAGCTGGAGATGAAGCCAATAAGCATCTGCAGAAACATCCTGGACCCTGTAACCGGGGCGCAGATTCGAGGTCGGTATTTTGAAGCACAGCCACCCCATAACCTGCAAAACCGGTCATATCACGACATGTTGCTCACTTACGAAGCTAACACTGACACGGACAGATATGGGGTGATATGTCCCACCATATCCGTCATAAAAACCTGGAGGACCGAGAATCCCCCAGCTGGCCAGGCGGATCCGCCGCTTCTTCGGACGCAGTGGAGGGCCCGGACGGGTGGGGCCGATGGCGTGAAGTATCGGTCAAAGGGGCATCTTGAGAGCCGGAAGCGTACGCGTGAGGAGTACGCTGCGAACGAGGGTCTTGGGTTTGACGATGATTATGGGTGGTTGAGGATCGAGGCGACGGAGAAGGAGAGCAGGGTGAGGGTTTGGCATGATAAGGCTAAAAGGAGGAAGATGGGCTGGTAATGAGGGGTATCGAGAGTTGCATTTCTGGGCAAGCTTGTGCTTTTGCTTTTGGCTCTTGTTCGGTTCAGGGGGGACTTGAAGCTTTTTGCATAGCGAACTTTTGTGAGATGTCTGGTTTTAGCGGGGCGCTTCGAGTTGAATATCAGAGCAATGATTTGAGGTTCCAAGCTCACTCACATGAATAACACTTTCATCGGCAAGTTGAATACTTGCCGTCCAACACCCCGGTCCGCCAAGGGAAGCACTCGAGTAGATGGCATGTCATCCCCAGTCAGCAAGATGCTCCTTAATCGGCTCGGCGTAGGGCCATCAAGCTGTCTTCGTCTTGATGCGGCCTTGCGACTCTTTGGCCGCGCGATACCGGGCATCGGCAACCCAATTTTAGCCGGGATCATTGGCTTTATATGCCGACCATGCCACGAAAGAAAACACAAGTCACAGAAAGGCTGCTCTGGTGCATTCATCGTGGCTCGATGCTTTGCAAGTTTCAGCTGGAGTGATATTCATTCGATTGTATTCCTTGTTTTACACATACACTTTCTACACGCAAGTAACTTAGACGCGCTCATCATTGTGCCTGACTTCTTCCTCAACAACTTCAGAGCCGTCGACAGGATCGGTAATACCGGTCATCTTAGTAACAATCACAGCAGCGAACAAGTCGCCGCTAACGTTGGTGGCAGTGCGGAATCGATCGATGAACCAGTCGATGGCTACGACAACACCGTACATTCCGCTTGGGGGAATACCCACGCTCGATGAGATCATAACCGTCAAAACGAGGGAGGAGCTCGGGATTGGGGTGGTGCCGATAGAAGCCAGAGTCGACAGCAACAGGATGATGATGTAGTCGGCCGCGTTAAGGACATGACCCTGGGTCTGAGCGAGGAAAACCACTACAATTGGGAAGTAAATAGCGGTTCCGTCCATGTTCACGAGACAACCCAGGGGCACGGCGAACTTGGTGACCGTCTCGGGGACCTTGAGCGTCTGACGGCAGCACTTCATGGTGACGGCGAGGGTCGCTGCCGAGGACGCGGTTCCCCACGCCGTCAACCAGGCGGGCGAGCACTTGAACCAGAGGGTGTATGGGTTCTGGCGGGTGAAGGCGAAGAAGATAAGGGGGAGAACGATGAAGAGGTGCAAGAACATGGAGCTGATGGCGCCGCCCATGAGGATGCCGAGGTTCACGCCGATATCGTTGATGTCGAGCTTGAACATGTTTGGCAGAATCAGGAAGAAGACGCCGATGGGGGCGAGCTTGATGAGGAAGGTGATGATGATCATGATGAGGGCCTCGACCTCGCGCGCCGCCTTGATGAGGGAGGATTGGCCGTCGCGGTTGTCGATGAGATAGCCGATCACGACGGCACTGACGAGCACGGCGAGGAGATGATCAGAGGCGAGGGCGTCGACGACGTTCGCTGGGATGAGGGAGTTGAAGAGCTCGGTGACGGTGGCAGGAATGTCTTGATCTTTCCTCTCCTCGTAGGACTCCTGGTCTTTCGCGGACATGCTGTCTGTGGCGATGGACTCTGCCGAGGCGACTGTCATGAGGCGGGCCCAAACTTGGGAGGTCATGATGATGGAGTGGACGATGGCTACGATGGTTGTGATGACGTAGTAGCCGATTGTCCACTTTGCGAGCTTGGCACCGCCGTGGGAGATTTCCTTGAGCTTTTGGACGGCGAGGACCATTGCTGTCACGATGAGGGGCAGGACTGATTTATTGTTAGCTCCAACGCTCAACGTGTCTGATGCAGCCGCACAGGAGCAAGGACCAGCATACCCACGGCTTTCAGAGACCGCAACCACAGGTTACCGGGGATGATGAGAATGGTCGTGGCGGCTGCGGGGATATCTGGGTGCGCAGTCTTGACGCCCAAACCGATACCGACGGCGATGGCGGCGGCAATGATGATCTGGACGGCGGAACCAGGCTCGATGACCGGGTGCCACCACGGTTTCTTCTCGTGGACCGACACCTCCGATGTGATGGAGGTCTGGTGCTGGACCTGATCCATCGAGGAGTTTGAGTTCTCTCGGACGGCCTTGTCGGCCGTGCCATACTCTGACTTCTCCATCTTGAGCTGGCTTGTGGACGGAGGTAATGTGTCTAGATGTTGGCGAAACAACGGGGTTGCCTGGAGACGGAGTCACAAGATACTGGACAACGAGCCGTACCAAGATCGCTACCACGCTGAGAGGAAGAAGGACGAGAGAAGAAGTTCCATCGACCCTGATCGGCGACTCGAGCGAGGGATATATACGTGAAGAACACCCGGCTCGTGGGTCAAGCTGAACCTGGGTTGCACCGAGAGTCTTGTCTATCAGTGTGGCGAGCAGGGGCTGGCTAGCCTACGATGCCAAAGCTCTAATCGGCCACATCTTGGATAGGGGCCGAATAAGAGGAAGCTCGCGTGGGCGATTCCGCTGGGGACTGGAGGGTGCGCCAGGCCATCAGGTTGGGGATTTCACCAAGGACGAGATAGGGCACGCGTATCTCTCACCCGCCAAGAAGGATATCAGAACTGGGGGAGGGCACAGCTGTTGGCATCTTTCACACGAAAGGAAGGTGTAAGAGGATCCATTCCATCCCCGCGTTACCCACCAGTCGCGCGTCGATGAAGGAGAGATGGGTCTTGGTGTCTTGGTCAATCCGCAGGTCTGGATTAAGACTGCAAGTCTCCTACACACGACCGTGCAAAGGGTTGGGCGACTGGCCACCGGCGTAGGACCTTGGAGAACGAGAAGGAAGTCAGATAGTACAGGTGCGTGCGTGACTGGGATGCTATGGGGTGGAAAACTGCGACGCAGCATTGGCAGAGGCAAGGTCGAATTGGAAGAGTGGGCTGGCCAGGAGAACTTTTCTGGATCGTCCAAAGGGAGGGTACCGGACGACAAGAGATAGGACAATGAAGCTTGACTGGCCGAGTCAGTTTGTCATGTCGGGATGGTCGTCTGGGTATTGGCCTTGGCTGGAAACACATCTTGGCGGTGACGACGGGGCTTTGCTGGTGTTATTCATCGAACGGTGAGAAGGTCATTTGCGTGAGTATCATTGAGTATCAGATGCCTTCAGTGGTATGGTGCAAAGAGCCTCGTACCTGGCTCGCATCGTTGCAACCTCAACTGACCACTTGTAGCGTTGTCGCAGACACTTCGATTGATCCAGCTCGAAGCTCTCTCTCGAACTTCCATTCCAGGTTCACCCCACAAAACGCGGGTCTCGTCGTCTCCCCATCTTGACAATTGTCAATGACAGCTCTGTCTGAGGCCTAAACTCGGCTTCCAGTTTGCAATCGCGTTGTCAGCTAGCAAAAAGCTCCACGGAGAGCAAAAGGATTCGGCGCGTCCAAGAAAACCAAGGCTCGTTACCAAGTTGCCCAGGGTGATTGCGCCCCGGTTGGCATCCGTCAGACATGACTCTCGGGCGACGTTGGTACGACCGCGGCCTCCGCCCATTGGTCCGCCACGGCGAATGCCGTGCCGCGCCGAGCCTTGCCGAGAGGCTCGGCGGAGGAGCGCGAGGACGAGGGTGAAGGGTCGGGCATGGGGCTCCGAGAAATTTAATTTGGGGGTGGAGAGGAGAGGGACCGTCGACAGAAAAACCAACGAGAGAAAAAAAAGGCTTGGCCGTGGCGCCGGAGCTTGTTTGCTTTCGACATTCCACCCACCTCCGCTCAGGAGTTCCGCTGAAAGCCACGCGTAGCCGTAGAAATGCGTCGACTTGCACTGGTGGTCGGCAGGTCACCTTCGCGTGCTCCCTTTTGCTAAGATAGGGCGTGAAGTGATGCTTGGCCGATCCACGCCGGTCCGGACACAGATACCCTGGTTCATGTCTGTTTATTACGTACAGTGTAACGGAGTGCAGGGTACCAATGTGGGTAGCCGAGCACTGAGTGCTTTCGAGAAGACTACTGCAACGTCTGACCACTGACAGTCGAGGTGTTCAGTTTTGTCGCCCTGATATCTGGAATTTGACAGATAATGCTCGCTCTTGGGGTGTCGAATGCCTGTTTCCTGTCCTTTTGAGATGTCTTAATTATCTGCTTGAGGGAATTCGGGAGGCAATGAACTACAACGGGCCGAGTTCTGGCGTATGCAGGTCGAGCACGCGGCTCTTGGTTTGGGGAGCAGGCGACGGAGAGCTGGGGTTGGCTGCCGCTGCCGTGGAGCTCCATGTGGCCCCATCTCCCACAATAAGAAGGGATATCAATGGAAGACCGGGATTAATCCAACGCTCCAGCCTCAAAAAAGGGTGAGGTATACGGCGGGTTCCAGCTAGGTACAGTCTTGGAAGCGGTGTAGTCCATGTTGGCGTGGAGAGCCTAGGGACCCACGACAACCAGGCAAGAGACTCGACGAGGCCCTCTAGGTAGCATCGACCTCGAACTGTGTTCAAAAAGGCGTGGGTTTAGGCTGTGATGGAAGCCGGTCACCCTGCGGAAGGCAACGAAAAGTGGACGGCATAATAGTAAGACGGACAGAGCCTCATCATGTTCTGGCGACTAGTTCTTTCTGAGGCCCAAACACTGTGCTAAGCTGGCTCATATCGGAACCTGCCAATGACGCCCCAATGTAATCAGGGTATGACTTGCAGATAGCTGCTGCACTTTCATATCCTGCTGAGAGAATGGCACGAGAAAGCTGCGGATAACAGAATAATGTCCATGCTACTGGGTCAGCAAATACCAAAGATAAAAACCCCAGCAAGACGGAAACTAGCGCGGTGATCCCGAATGAACGACGAGAGCAATTAGAAGATATAGATTCGAAGTAAACGTCAAGCTGTTGCAAATATTGTACCAGATTCGTCTCATCAGAACTGCAACTAAAGAAGAAGGAACATCCCCAGGCGACAGTGTTAGCAGGAAGGGCTCAGCAAAGTCATCGATCTAAACATTAGCTAACCTGATAAGCACTGCAATTCAAGAAGGCTACTTCGTAACCCTTTAACAGACGCCTCTAGCCTTTGCCGTCGAGCGATTTCCTTCTCCGGCTCCGACCCAATGCGCAGTAGCTCATCGTCAGAGAATTGCGAGACTGTCGTGGGGTAAAAGATCTCTGGCAGCGGAGCCAGAATGTGGCGTTCAATGACTTGTCTACACACGTTGTCCACGAACGTCTTCATTGCAACCTGTGAGACAATATCAGTGTCTTGAGCAGAGAGAAGGCAAGTGTGATTTGAGTACGTACCTTGTAGTAAGCATTGAGACCTGCGAGAGCCTCCTCACATGCTTGCTGATCCATATTAACGCAGAGCTTGGGTTGCAATTCTTCAACGAGAAGCTTTCTGTCATTGGCATCGCAAGTTCTAAGATTGCGCGCACCAACCATGGCGAGCGAGTTCTCTAGAAGGTCTTTCTGCGATGTGTTGCGCGCCTTTTGGATGTTGTCAGTGTAATAATGATTGTACGTAATTGGATGACGATCCTCATCCAAGAATAATTGCTCAAGCTCCTTGAATGCAGCCTTCCTAGAGAGTTCTAGCTGCTCTTGACAGAAGCTGGTGGTGTCTCTGCGTAGGCGATCCTCATGAACAAGCGTAGCCACCGCTTCACGGATCCATTTTGAGACACACTCTAGAACAGTGGAAACATGGTCTTTTGCGAGATCGCGCCACGGACTTGAGTGCTCGTGGAAAAGCTCAGCGAGTAGGATGTGGTTGTAATTGCCAGGAAGTTCACGACCTCGGGTCTGGGTGTAAGTCTGATCACAATTAGCGGTTTTGACTTTGTTGTAGGAATCACACAACATTTCGAAGGCTAACCTCCCGAACCCAGGAGACCATCTCAGTTCCCGTCACAAGAATTTGGCCGCTCTTACTGCTAGAACCATCTTCTGAGCGGGGCGTAGGTGGACCGTAGGTAATCTTGCGTTTGTGACCTTGTTCACGGACTTTCGTTGCGAAAGCACCGTTTCGCTGGTGAACCAAGGAGCGAAGTCTGCTTCCGTTCTTTTCCTTGAAGAAGGCGGCTTCAGAGCAGTGATAATTCCCGTCTAGGGCCGCCTGAGCTAGTTGATAGTAGCGCATACTGACGCTGGTCATGAAAGATCGAATATCGCCGAGGGATCGGCGTTCAGGGCCCATTTCTTCGAGATCTTTTTCAAAACAGCCGAGTTTACGTCTGATCTCATCCTTCAGTTTGGGCAGCTCCCCCTCGAGGTGCTCATCCAGAAGCTCTTGTAAAAATGCTTTCAAATTTTCAATGCCAACCCGGCTCATGTCAAGGTTTTGAGCCTTCCAGGCTGGTGAAGAAAAAAAGTTCATTTCACGTTCTGCGCGATTGTTGTTGCCACTGTCGGCTTTCATCTCGGATGGACTGGGGTTTTTGAGAAGGAAGAAGCCGAGTTTGAGCTTGATAGCGTCTTTGTTCTTGGCGATGTTGGCGAGCTTGGCCTCAGATCCAGCATTGATGAGATCGGGTTTGGTGATTATACCGACAGTCCGTTGTCCATCTGGATCATACTCGCGGGCGATTCTGATTATGCCTTGATTGGCAAAGTCGTTGCTGGCTTGAACCACAGCGAGAATGATGGTTCGGGTGCTCTTGAGGTAGCCCCGAACCATAGCATGGACGGCCTCAACGTCAGCTTGAGACTGTTCCTCGTTGGACACCGAAATAAGGCCAGGGAGGTCAACAATGCTCAGTTGCAATCCTGTAGGGCCCGAAATCTCAATGCGAAGAGCATCAGATGCAAACGCAGCATCATCAGGAGAGTCGGTAAAGCCGCGTATCCCCATAAGCTTGGAGACCTCCTCAATGGCGACGGGAAGGTCGGAGAGGTCTTCCTCCATCTCGCGCACATAGTCACTGAGAGTCTGTGCAATACCAGGCGGGCGAGAAGAGTGAGGCCGAATAGTAGCCTTCGCCATGAATGGCTCATTAGAGTGCCGTAGAACAATCTCCGTGGGAAATCGGGTACAGAGACCTTCTTGACGAGGGAAAGGCATGCCAGTAATGCCCTCTAGCACGGAACTTTTGCCTGCGGACTGGTCGCCACAGACGACAAGTTGAGGCAAGTCAATCAGGTTGCCAATACCATTGGCACGTAGTTTTTCGATCTGGTTGAGGCGATG